TATATATTGTTTGCTTGTTTTATTTTAGTCCTTGAACAACGGACAGGCATAAGGGGGATGAGAAAAATAATTGTTAAATATAACAGAAACCGTGCAACAAGATAAATATTGTTTGCGAGCTTGGTTCACTTTGGAACCTAAATAAATAATAAACAAATGAAGTCTCTCTTCGCAGATGGTGCCACATTTAAAATTCACGAGGACCATAGACTGGAATGCAAACAGAAATAATTAAAGAAGCTCCAATAAACCATCCTGCCTGGAGAGTCAGATGAAAGATTATGCAAATCAAATTTGGAAAGAGAGAAAGAAAAAAAGTAATCGAACGGTTTTACTGCCATGCAGAACAAAACTGGAGAGTATGACCCTGATCCAGGGCTTTTCTAAAGTCTGTGGCCCAAAGACCATCATCATCATCATCATCATTATCATCATCATTGATAAAAATTGGACAAAGTATGCCAGCTCGTCCCATTGTTCAGAAGTGAAGACAAATGACAGCTTTGGGTTTGACTGTTAGAGCCAGTGTCTGCTCAGTGGGGGCATGGAGCTGATTATTTGATCAATAAATGATCAAACATACCAACAGTTTGTCTCATTCTCAGTTAGTATAAAATTATACTTTAGCCTTCATTTTCACATTTAAACCTTTCATTTGGGGTCTACAGTATAGAAAGTGTTATAGCTGTTAATAGTCAACAAATGCCTGCCAAATTTGCTTTATTTTGAAATGTGCAAATTGGGGTTTCTTTCTCCATGAGGTAGCAGTTTCATGTTTCACAAACGTGCCTCATAACTCCTTAAAACAGTGGTGGATAGTAATGGAGTACATTTATTTGAGTACTGTTTTTTAGTATCTTTACTTTACCTGAGTAATAATTTTTTGGGGTACTTGTGAATTTCACTCCACTAAATTTCAAAGAAAAAATATTGTACTTTTGACTCCAGGAATCTTTTAGTTACTTGTTACTTTTAGCTCAGCATAGTTTTGTAATACACTGTTGCTGTTTTTCTTTCTAGAAATGCAATTGGACACACGTTATGTTCCTCACAAGGCGAACCAATTACAGTCGTAGCTCACATCTGGGATATATTTGGAATTAGATTATCTTCATTAACTGTTGTGAGCTGAGCTCCACCTTCTTTTCAAACAGAACCCAGCAATGGAAATKGTTGAATTTAGTAAAGAAACCAGCACCTGTGACCATATATCATCTCAATGTTTGAGATTTTAGGAATGAATAATTTGTTTCAGTTTAAATGTCTTATGTTTTCACCACAGATAAACTACATTTCTGCATTTAAGAACTCACCACTCACTGTATGGCATTTTTTATGTTGAAGTCTTTGCAGGTGGTGAATTTGTGGAGTGGTTCTACGTGTCGATACTTTAAGGCTCTGTAAATTCACTCTGAAAACAATGCAGCAATTCTAATATTTCAAATAAAATATTAGAAATTTTATTTGTACTTTTGAATACTTTAGTATTTTTAAATGCATATACTTTTGAATAATTAAGTATTTTCAAAGGTAAGTACTTCAGTACTTTAACTTGAGTAGATTTTTTACC